TTGCAGTTGTCTGCCGCGCTGGTGACAACGTGAGCAACGTTTTCACTGAAGGAGGAAATGCGCATCCACACACGCATATGCAACCATCCAACACCCACGCATTTGTACCCATCAAACGCACATACACTCATCTAACCCCCCTCCCACACACACGCGCACTACCGACACGTACGTGTGTGTGTTTCAGTTTCTGCACAAGTTTCAGCGGGAGCACGAGCTCGCCCTCACAGGCGAATACGAACAGACACCGATGGATTTCGTTGCCGACACATTCAAGGTGCGTACACGATGGGGTGTGGTTTATTTCTTGCGTCAGGTCACTTTTCAAGATGGCATGGAGGGGAGAGGATGGCACCATAGCTGAGGTTGTTTCTGTGTACGCGAGCTGTGCTCCAAGCCGTCAAATCTTGGTCTTGATGCCTGCTTGTCGTTGTCATGTTGATGGCTGCTAGCTGCGCTTCTATGACGTTCAACCACACGTCTCTGTCACCACGTTGCTGTTGTTGCTGCCTCTCAACAGAACACGGGTGTTGTTGAGGAGAGGCGAACGGCGCAAGAGTCCACAGGGCTGCCCATCGAATCTTTGCAGGTGACCACACACATGCTCTCTGATGCCTGCCTGCCTCTCTGTGTGTATGTGTATGGGCGAGTACACGTGTCATACGTGAGCGAATTGCACGCATACATACATACAAACACACACACACACACACACACACACACACACACACACGCACGCACGCACGCACACACGTGCATGCACACCCAAACACGCATTTCTGACCTTTGTTTGTGTGCTTCTCCCTCGCTCATGTGTTCAGTTCATTGCGAACAACGCGTGTGATCTGAGCAATGTTGAGTTCCACCTGCATCCGCTGGTGAAACAGCTGATGCGCAAACGCCTCAGCATGGTCGAGAACGCAAGCAGCAGGTGTGCGCACAACAAGGCTACCGTGTGCATGTTCATGTGTGCATGTTCATGTGTGTGTGTGCATTTTGTGTGTGTGTGTGTGATCAAATATCGGCTGTCTCTGGAAGGTATCGTTGTGCTGATGCTGTGGATGTTGCGGCGTTGATCTTTGTCACCGCTTGTTGCACGTTAACCATTCTCTGTGCCTGTGTTGCGGTGTGGTGTGTTGCGTTCATATGTGCCCTGCTGTATCCTGCTGTGCATGTGCTGCGCTTTGCTGCGCTGTTGTGATTGTGTGTATACGTGTATGTGTGCGCGTGTACTTGTGTGCGTATGTATGCGTGTGCGTGTGCGTGTGTGTGTGTGTGTGCAGGGTTGATTGGGGGATGGCGGAGATGCTTGCGTTTGGATCGTTGACGCTGCATGAGGATGTTGGGCCGCTCGCCATGAACCCAGACATCAGCGTGTCTCCTCTCCACTACAGTGCGTGTGTTGCCCTTGCGATTCTTTCCACCGCCCTTTATTTTGTGTCAGGCCGACACTGCTTGCACAGGCACATACCCGCACCTTCACTCAGCACACACTGCTCGAGCAATCTCTCTCGCATGCACACAAACACACACACACACACACACAAGCACACACACAAGCACACACATTCTCTTTCTATTACCCACTCCACTGAACTGACACGCATGGCTGTTCCGCCCATCACCAATGAATACCTGTCGTTCGCATGCACTCCCTCTCGTCAACACCAGACCACTTCCGTGTGCGCTTGAGCGGGCAAGACTCTGAGCGTGGGACATTCAACCAGCGACACGCAGCCATTTACGACAGGGAAACAGCACAGAGGTTTGTGTTTGTGTGCGTGTGTGTCAGATGCAAGGCGGGGCACTTGCCGCTGGATCGGTACACACGCACACGCACACGCGCACATACACACATACACACATACACACATACACACATACACACATACACACACGCATACACTCGTATACGCATGCACGCACATGCACACACATGCACACACGCATCCACGCACGCACACCTTTGCGCACGTGCAGATATGTCCCGCTGGCGAACATTGTTCCTGGCGGCCAGGACGAGTTTGAGGTGTGGAATTCGCCGCTGAACGAGGGCGGTGTGCTTGGATTTGAATACGGCGCATCGCTTGGATATGAGGTGAGCCGCAATGTGCTGTGCTGTGAAGTAATGTGTCATGGCTGGTTTGGTTGAATTGTACTCTTACTGTATGCCCCTCAAATTGCGCTCACACACACGCACGATCACACACACACACACAAACACACACACACACAAACACACACACAAACACACACACACACACAAACACACACACAAACACACACACACACACACAAACACACACAAACACACACACACACACACACACACACACACATTTACGCGCGCACAACGACCACGCTTGCAGAACAATGCGCTTGTGCTGTGGGAGGCGCAGTTTGGGGATTTTGCCAACAACGCGCAAACCATCATTGACCAATTTATTGCCTCTGGCGAAGAGCGATGGAACCAAAACTCGCGTCTTGTTCTGCTGCTGCCTCATGGTTATGACGGACAGGTGAGTGGCATGTGAGTGGGGCAGCCGCGGTGATGTGTGAGACGCAAAGTGATTGTGCATTCCACTTGCGGTGTGTGTCGAGCGACACCACATTGACATCCCTTCTCACAGATGTACACACACCCACCCACACACACACACATACACACACACATACACACACACACATACACACACACATGCATATGCACACACACATGCATAACCCCACCCAACTTCAACTCCCGCGCAGGGCCCTGACCACAGCAGTGGGCGGCTGGAGCGATTTCTTCAGCTGATGAACGACGACCCGGACTATCTTCCCGGTCGCGATCCAAACTCGCGCAAGTTGATTGAGCAGACCGTGGAGGCGCTCGGGTCCGACGAGTACATCTCCAAGGAGCGTGTGATTGAGCTGCTGTACCAGTGCGTTGAAGACCCGGCAGAACGCATCGAGACCATGTGGCTGGAGATGTGCATCAACCCGGGCGAGGACCGCATTCCAAGGTACACTCTCCTGTGAGCGGGATGAGTTCGTGTGTGTTCTGTGGGTGGTGTGTTTGTTTTGTGTGGAACCTGAGCCGACGAAAAGGCTACGTCTGTGCAACTTTGCTGATAGTGACGCGTGCATCAACACACACACATGCACACACACGCACACACACACACACACACGAAACACAAAACCGGGGACCACACCACACGCCCACATATACACACA